AATAAAGGGGCAAACACTTCATGACTCTGAAAATGTTGGTCTTTTATGAATACCCATCTGTTCTAGATCAAATACTCACATTTTCATCAGCAGAGTTTTCTCCATTGATGTCAGCATACAGAGCTGAAAGATGAAGCCGTACAGCAGCCGTTAAACTTCAAAAAGAGACTCCAGAGAGCACACATGTTAGTCTTTTAATGATAGCATGTAAAGTCTGACATTTATTTTCGTTTCATGACCTCAGGGATTTTTACTGTGCTACCTCGGTTTCATTCTTTTTTTTTCAACCATGTGCATCTCTAACCAAAGACTATGCTGCATGATCTCTTAGCAGAAGAAAAACTTTAACAAACATGGTTTAGTTAGCTCAATTTGTGGCATGGAATTCAATAAAAAATGTAAAGGAGGGAAAGGTTAGGAAAGTAAACAACAGGGCATGAAAAAGCATGAGAAGAAAACAGCTGAAGGATTTGATTTCTTTTAGGGAAAAACATGAAATCTTTGAATGTTGTATCCCATCCTATTATTTACATTAGGAAGCACGGACAGACATTGCTTTAGGCTGATCTACAGCACTGATGTCTACTGTTTGCTTTATGCTAGAATGAACATAAAATAAAGGGATGAAAGAGACAACAGGAATGCTCTAGAAATAATCATGGCATTTTTACTATATTACTCATCATCCCATTACTGTGGCTCTCGGTCTGTCTGTTGGTCACTGCACAAAACATCTCCCATGAAAATATGTACTCTGAGTGATATAGAAAATCTTTACTCTAGCCCCTCCTGCAGGTCAAATCTTATCACTTCTGTTGCACACAGTTCCATCTGCATTTGAAGAACATAAATATACAAAAACTCAACTGACACATTTTATTGTTTTTGGCACCTCCGGAAGGAATCTGCTACAATCTTAATAAGTAGCATATTTTAGAATAGTTGTATGAGTTCCCTCGGAAAATTGTAGATAATGACAGTATTTAATTTCTGTATACTAATTCATAATTCCATAGAAGTGCAGAATACATATATATATATATATATATATATATATATATATATATATATATATATATATATATATATATATATATATAT